AATTAATGATGTACTATTATTTTTGCTAAAAAGTAGAATGAAAAATAGGACAGGGAAACACATTAATTAACGTATAGTGACATTAAGATAAAATGATGTGATAACTATTAGTTAACCCTTACATTGTTCAGTTTAAATAAATAGAAGAGAGGTATTCACCTATTTTATCTTTGCACATAATGTTTTTGTTTAGGCTTATTTGATATGATCGATGACATCCGTACGCTAGAGACAGGTATTCACTACTATGCGTATTACAGAGTTAATTAGTCAGGGAGAGAAAACCTAATTATCTGTGCTTCGCATAAAATACATATTTTTTTTATAATTCTCAGTCTATAATTCTGATCTAATATTGCTGTGAATACTTGTTGTGTTAAGATGGCGTACAAAAAACTGAACAACAATTAGAGGTCAATCACAACAAATAATAGTACCTGCTAACATTATTTAGACGTTCTAAACACCGGACTACCTTTTTGACCGTTAACAGGCAAGCTCGTCAACATGATATGAAGTAAAACTACTGAACTGAAAAATTCAAATGCAGTTATCTGACAAATTCTGTAGTGAGTGAATAAGTAAATCAGTCCCTGAGGGTCCCCATTACCTTGAATTGACTAGTAAGGGTTGTTGGCTGATTCATTCGGTTGCTCAATACATACACAGTCAGTATTATATACACATCACATAGAAAGTCTTACAGGTATTTTCAAAGTTCTATGCAAACCAAAATATAAGGAAACTAAGTAATGAGTAAAGCCTGAATAAAATATATGATAGTGCACAAGTGGTCCAGTCGTAGCATGCTCACCAACTAATGGCGTGGTCAATGGTTCGATCCCCGATCGAGCATCTCCTCCTTTACATCGCTAAGCCGGTAGTAAGGTCAGTAAGGAGGGAAGGTTGGGCGTGAGGCCAGCGACCCCACCGCCTAAAAGTAAAACCACTGCTATCGAAACTTTAAAGCTCTAGCTTGAACCTCTATGTTCTACTCGGAAAGTAAAGAGATAAACAGAAGATATAATAATAATAATAGTATAATAAAGTATACGGTAGAAGAAAAGTTGATTAGCTGTAAGCGTCAACTTTTAAATTCCACAGCTGTTCATTCTTTCATGAAGCAGAATTTACACCAGCATACGGATCTAAAACCATCAGAAAATACAACCAAATGGTATCCCTTTTCATTAATTTTTATTGCTTACAACTTTAAAAATATTGTTGTATATAATATAGTCTTCGTGTAAAAAGTAATTATGAAAGAAGCTAAGAAAAATACTTGTCATCATAAAAGAAATAATCTCGAACAAGAATTCCTTTTGATCCTTTTTTCTCTATAATAATAAATTTTATTAATGTTCACTCGTAAATTAGACTTAAAATAGTTTTACACTCTATCACTTCTGCTCAGTATGAGAGGAGTGCTCTAACGTGTCCGTCTTATTCGTTTTAACGCACTAATAATCAGCTTTCTAAAAAGACTATGGATAGAATAAAATGAGTTTCGAATTATTGTAGAATAAAAACCATTAATGCATAGGTCCTATTTTGGATTATCTATTTTAAAACTGTTTTCTGTTGCTTGTTTTACTGAAATGAAATTACTAGTCTCTGTTGATGTACTTCTCTCTAGAATGGGTATTATAATGAAGTTTTTTTAAATTTTATCTTTCTTACTTACGACACTGGTATCAAGATTTACCAAGTCAAGAAGAATGGTGAAATTCCTATTCCTAAACTGTCTGAATAAACTAACCAGTAGTTTCAGAACAATATAAATAAAGTGCACAACTTCAAGTTACTCAGCTGACTGTATATATATATATATAATTCTTTCAATACATGCAGAATATTACTTAAGCATTCTATGATTGCTTGAAGTCAATTAGTGGATGGTGACTAATTGTGGAATCCAGGACGCGCATTTAGTCCTATTTGGGACCTGTCATCTGGATGTACCTGCATTCAGAACACAATATTCAGCGAAGAGACTCTTTTCAACGAATTTATTATCAAACTGTACAATCGTATATATATATATATATATGGTTTTTTGAGAAATTATATCCAGTGACGGAATTAGGTCAAAGGTGTGAATACATGAAATAATAATAGTATGAAATGCAATTAAAATATTTGTGATTATAATCATAGTTTAATGTCAAGTGGCAAAATAATTAATGTCATACATGGAATAATACATAAGGTGTATAGATTTTGGAAAGGGGTACATAATTATAAGATCAGTAGACGAATATAAAATGTTAAATAACATGGTGTGAAATTTGATAAGATAGAATTCAATATTGTAGAAATAAAAAATATAAAAATGAATAATTCTGGGTTTAAAAGGACGAGTGGGTCAAGTGGAAAACATTCCGAGTGAGAATAGTAATGATAATGATGAAGATAATAATAATATTCGTAGTAATGAGGGAACAGTACATAGAATAGCTAAATAAACAAAATAAATAAATGTCTATCCCTCTACGGCCAAGGCAGAAGTAGGGATTGTACATACTTCTTTTGTACACAAAGGTCTGGCTTAAAGTCATGAATTGCCAAGGCCTCAGCTGTCCTTAGAAGTCTGTAACGAAGAAAACTCGGGAAGTTAGCATGGATTCTATATATGATCTTGAAATCATGGTCAGGGTTGATAGAGTGACAGAAGTCAATCAGGTGTTCCAGGATAGAGCTTCGCACACACTCCCTTTCTCCCTTGTAAAACCATGCTGGGATATGTTCTGGTATCCGTGTGGAAAGCGTCCTTTGACTACGGCAATGTACTTTGCTCCACAAGAGCAGGTGAACTGATAGATGCACATGGAGGCGACCAGATGGGGGAGCTTATCTTTTACAGAGGTAGAGAACAACTTGCGGCTAGTGAACGTCATATGTAATTTTGCTGCAAAGAACGTCTTACTGACTGATTTAGAGAGACGATTTTTGAGCATATCTGAAGCTTGATCAGCTTGATAAAAAATTCGTTGAAAAGAGTCTTCGTTGAATATTGTGTTCTTAATGCTACAATGAGAATTATTAAATTATTGAAAAAATGCAAAGTACCTGTGTTCCTCTATGAGTGGTGGTGTTCTCAACAAGACTGGAGCACAGTGACCATGGTTCTAAACGCCAAAGCGTTACCCACCAGACAACTTGAGCCACGAGAGCCAAGTCGTGTGCAACGGATCTTGCTAATCATTTAATTCAATTTTTCATTGAGTTTAAAAAAAAGATATATGAATTTTATATCCAGGACCATAATCGTATTTCTAATGTACTTGGAAACAAATAAACACAGACATAAAAGTAATGCCATTCTGTTTCCCTATGAAAAAATCAGATGGAAAATTATACCACCATACAAATAATAGCTTCATAGTTAAACGTCTATACTCAAAGATCCCCATGCATCCTTACAATTAGTGTTACTGCTGCCACCACTTCTAATACTACAATCTTTCTCAAGTATTCATTCCATCTTTTGTTGTTTATAAATAGATTTAGGCAGTTATGAACTGTAGTCATATTTTATTCATTAAAACTCAAAGGAATGAGTGCTGCTTTAAACAGTTAGGTGAAATCTGTTGTCCTTTTGTTCCACTACACCTTGAGCTACAAAAAGTGTAACAAACTACGAAATTCTAATGTTATTATAAACAGTTGACAGCATCCCGATGATGGAGATGTAGCTGATTGGTTTGATCACATGACTTTCAACTATCAGGCCCTAGGTCTGAGTCTCCTTCACCTGTTCCAACCTAGACGACTGCTACGTGCCGAAAAATAGGTGCTACTGACAGCCGTGAACATTAGAAACCTTCCGCAAGAAACTTAATCCAAACTATATATTTGATTTACTGGAGTAACTGTGAATAATACAATTTACTAATATTGTTTTTCCTTTAGTATTTTATTTATATATGCGTTGAAGTTTCTGTAGCAATTTGGTTAAGTTTTGGGGATGGAGTTGCTAGCACCACTCCCCAACCCTCCCTCTTTATCCGGGCTCGGGATCGGCCCAACAAATATTCAGGATAAAGTGGAGATGGATTGGACACTCGCTGAGGAGGCCGCTGGGTGACATCGCGCGTCAGGCCAGTGCTCGAGTGGAACCCTGGAGGGAAGCGGCGAGTGGGACGTCCAAGGGTGACATGGAGGAGACCGTGTGAAGAGGAGTTCAAACAGTTTGGACTAACATGGATGCAGGTGAAAAGTACGGCAGAAGACAGGAGCGAGTGGAGACGTGCAGCTAAAGCCCTATGTTCCACTAGGAACCCAAGGGAACAATAATTTTTCCTTTGGTTTCGAAGTGGGACATAGGACTTCAGCAGAACATCTCTATTTCATCCTGTTCTCTGATCTCCTCTTCAGACAGATTCAAGATTGGGCATAAACCGTTATCTCCTCATCATATGATCACTACAACGTCAAACTTGGACGTCTAATTAGTCATTTCACACTCGAGAATCACTTGAGTGATTGGATCTTGATGTCACTCAACAGTCTCCTCAGCGTGTTTCCGATCCATCTCAAATTTCTGTCGACATGTTTGTTGGATGACTGGTTCTTAGTTGGTTCGTTCTTAAAGTTTCTTGTTGGTAATTCTTTCTGACCATTTGATGTTAAGTAAAGAGCCGGCAAAGGCAGCTGTTGATGACCATCTGCAACATCCTGTTTCAAATGCTTTTCTTGATACCTGCACCAAATCTCTGAACAATAAAGAAGAACTGGTTCTCTCTCTCTCTCTATATATATATATATATATATATATAGGAACTGATTAGTTTATGTTCAAGTTTAATTGTTTTTCTGTTGTCTTGCTGCTTACCATACATCCTTAATCCTCAATTGACGTGCGCCTAATAACTCTTTTCGATTGAATAAGTTTCGAAATTCTAATTATGATAAACTTCACTTTGTTAAAAAGCATTACTAATTTGTGTCCAGAATCCTATGTAATGTGTGTTTTTCCCCTTGAAAACAATTTTTGACAGATATCAAAGAGTACTGGAGTCGATTTCAAACAGCTGAGAGTATGGACTGCATTCTATTGTGCTATATTTGGTTTTTTATTTGTTGGATGTAATATGTCTGGTATAGCTAATCATATACGCAGATCAGTCGAAGAAGTCTACAATTCATTTATTGGATTCTTTTTTTTATTGAAAGCTCTTTTTACAATGTTTTTAGTAAGTGACACATTTTTTTCTCTGATTCAGTCTTGTTAATTTTTTTATACTTTGAATAAACAACCAAAAACGTTGTAACTCATTACAGTCTGTGGTATTGTAGTCAGTTACCTATTTCGTAAATGTTTTTTAAAAATTTTGGACATTGTTCTTGGTTTTTTTCACCACTATTGGAGTTAAAGGCGTAAAGTATTCATTGATTTAAACAGTCAACAATAAATTTTAAGTTAGATCACAAAATAAAACCAGTTAGACAACCATTGAAAACTACTGAATACTGGATATAAGACTTGGGCACTGTGGTAGAGTGTAACTCCATTTTCATTCATAAATGAAGGAAAAAGTTGTGTGAGTAACTTGATATGATTATGAGCAATAATTTGTGCTCGAAAAGTCATCAGTTAATATTACTGTGTAACACTGTGTGATTTATCAAAATAAAATCTTATCCATAATGGTGAATACTGAATAGCTGTTTCTCCCTACTTTGCGATTCTTAAGCAGTATGCACCCATGACTCCATTGGGTATAGAACATACTACCTTGAAGTGAGAAGGAAGACCCACTAACCACTCATCCACTGGAACAGAACTCAGTGATCCATAGGTAAAACTCCGGTTAATGCACGATATACAGCACCACTATTAGCCGAGGTCATCGACGAGTACCTACCCTGATATGCGACTTGATAGACCCACTGGTTCGACTTGGCAGTAAAACTGAAGATGACTTCATCTTAAAGGCAGTCATTAGTGAGTATTAGGTTTGGTGTTGTTTTCCCTCGGTGGAGTGGGCAGTCTTACTTCCAGCATTGCCATTTTTCCGGACCAAATGTCATTGTGGGCGAAGTTTATGAGTAGGTTGCCTAGGAATCCAACCCTCACCTTTTTCGTGGTCGACACGAATTCCACCTTTGAACTACCTCCGCAAAAAGGTGAAGTGAGCACTTGGGTTTGAACTGGAAACGTTTCGATGTACGGCTGAATGCTTTACCACTGAGCTGTACCCATAATTTTGTTACGACTTAGTCTGACTTTGCAGTCATTGGTAAAATCTGTGGTCTAAATGCTTACAGATTCCATAAGACGTTATCAAAAAGGTTGACCGAATTTTCTCTTCTTTTGCAATAAGCCATATACAAATTTTAGAATATTTTTTGTCTAGTTTATTGTATCAATATACATTTATGTTTTCTTACTCATTTTATACATTCACAGTTAATTCCTTCCAAACCAAAGGATAACTCCATAGCTGCCAGTTTGTTTTATTATCAGAGATTAGCTGTAGCTGGAGTTACTTTATTTTTGGCATTTATCATGCTTCAGTTTTGTTTGATTCTTGCTCAGTTGAAAAGAGGAAATTATTTCAGAAGAAATGTAAGTCATACCTTTTTATATTTAAATTAACACTTGTTGGAAAAAAAATGCTCAACTTAGAATGGTCTAAGAAACTGTACTGTTAATAGTAAAAATGTAGAGCGTGCATTAAGCTCTGAATAATTTCATCAATATTTCTGGTGTTAATATAATTTGAATTTCCAGCAGTAAGCTGTTTAACGCAGGCGAATTCTTAGTGATTGCAGTGAATTGAAGACTAATTTAGCAGATATATTATATGAATTATTTTGGAGAGTGTCTGGGTTATAATCCAAAGGTCACTTGCTCAGATTTAAACACTGTTGAGTTTTTCTCATTTCACCTTCAATTACCACGCAATACATCATCATGGCCCTTGTATAAAGATACATCAAAGAATTTTTATTCGAACTTTCTCACAAAGTACAACAATTCAAGTAGCCATACGTCAAGAAAGTGCACACGTAGATACAAGAAAAACATAATAGAGAATAATCTGGAAATTTACCAGATTTGAATATTTCTGCACCACTGTCATCTATTTTCAGCCTCATCACCAAAAGCGTTCAACTGGTGACTAATAACACCTTCAAGACTATAGTCAGGCATAAACATAAGAATCTTTTGATTTATATGAGGTGTAAAATATAGACAAAGGTAAAATTTTACAAAGGAGATTTCAGTATGTATACAGAAACTTTGTTTGGCATTTGAAGACTTGCATCATCTTTGACACAGGCTGAATATCTGACTTTCTGTCAAACAACGCGTATACTGCTTAGCAGATCCTACTTTATGCTTATGACACATGGCTACCGGCAGTGAAAAATGTGGCATCGTTACGTGTTCTCTTTCACGAGTGACTTTGTTCAGTCTCAGTGAAAGCTGAAGTAAGACGGTGAAGTAAATGAGAAAGTTAGCTGGTGAGGTTGTGAAGCTTCATCAATCAAGGTGGCTAGGAAATGGGCTAAGCATGTAGAACCATCACTTTTCTTTAAGAGGAATATCAATTATAATAAGAGTTAGTCAAATGAAATCAAAACAAGAATTCATGAAGTGGCTGCCGTTTCATCCTGACCACCTAGAATGATATAGACTATGTGGATGTTGTTTTAGGTATTCTAAGATTCGGTAGTTGAAGAATGTTAGTAACACGGATCAAAATCACACATAGTAGTATAGATGAAAATCGTTATCTAATCGTTCTTTTCATCTCACCCATCGTTGTTCATTGTATAATTACCCCGTTTCTGTTCATTTTATGTGGTTTCTATTTCAAAAGCAGTACCTTGACCTGGCGCATTTCTGTGTGGTGTCTTACGTTGATCTGTCTGCTAGCGATAACAACACTTCATACTGTTACTCTTCATGAAAGGAGAACAAAAGTCGACAATAGATTAAACAAAGGAAATGGTGTATAAGAGTACCTTGAATTTATTCACACATTTATTGTCTGATATGCTGGCTATTTTGCTGTTTATTTTCATTACTTTTACGGTCTAAATTAGTGTTACATATTAACTACACCAAATGTACATAATACATTTTCATATTTTCATTAATTTTTTATAATAGATTCGAAAACTTTTAGGCGCATTGAATGTACCTCTGGGTATGCTATTAATTACTGGATTAGAGAGAATATTTTTTAGAGGTTATAATTTACCAACTGTAAATATACCTCCATCAAATCAAGTGAATGCTTCAACATGGATGAATTCACCAAATTTTTCACGTTTATTAGACTACAGTAAAGCTCCATCTACACTTATCCATGGTACTTCAGCGGCTCTTGGAATAGCTTTAGCAATAATTATTTTTACTGAAGCTGCTTTAAATGGGTAAGTGTTATCTGATTGCTTGTACATTTAGATATTTTGTTGATTTTGTTATGCTCTCTGATCTGGATAATATGACTGCTAAGTTATCATTGTCCCTCTGAACAACAGCTTCAGAGAATAATTCTTAATGGATGAAATATTTGCCTCTCCTCCTGACCTTCCTGTAGACTTCTTTATACTTGAGTCCACTTGATATTGATCACCTTACTGACCTAAAATTTGGTAATGTCACTTACTTTTTATTGACTAGTGAATTTAATCTGTATCCACATATCTGTTAATTGAAATTAATTTGAGTATCAAGTTTCAAGCGTTTCTCTGGCATTTCTCATCTTTCCATTGTCAAAGTCTTTTATACGGTCCCAAATGAATTGACGTCTACACTTGTCCATGTGAATTTATATTAACCAAACTGTTAGTTTCTTTTTTTCTCCATACAAAGATGAAGATGACATGAGGATAATGATTTTTACAGTATATGCCACTTCGTTTAAGGTATATTTCTGATATCCTTCTGACTTGTTTATTTATTTAGGTTAAACAAACTTTATCTTATCTTCCATGTGAAAAAACACTTTAAACTATTCTATCTTGAACAAAACCACACAATCGAAACAAGGCACCATCATCTTTCACATATTCCAACTTCAGCAATTTTATCATTTCATTGTACTGGATATGATAATTATTATTATTATTATTTTGGAATGTCACATAAATTATCAGCTGACTATTTGATAATAACCTTTGCGTTTAATCATGTCAAAATATTTCTATCACTATCAGCAAATAAATTCACACACACACACACACATGCAAAAACACCCACAAGAATATACTAACTAGTTAATTCTGTTCAGAATAAAATCAGTTTTTTTCCAATTCATATGTATTTTCATCAAATGATATGATTAGTAGAACCTTAGAACACTTAATTGCTTTTTTGATGGATGATTATGCAGAGGCAGATGAGAACGGTAAACTCTATTGCTCATTTAACAGGATGCATTTTCGTCGAAATCATCATTATCAAAAATATATTAGGCCATTGCTTAAAGGTTTGTTAAGACAGGGGCTTCTTCATCATGGTGTTTGACAATCAACTGATTATAAATTTGTTTTTTGTTTGTTTTTGTTTTAAGCATTGACTAGTCCATGTTTACGAAGTGTACTTATTATCTGGAGACTAATTAAGTTTGCTCAGGGATATCCAGTTATATGAAAAGCATATTTCAGTATTCTGTTAGCATAATTTGTTACTTTTATATGTTATTAATCGTTACCCTGTGATGCAACCATACTTTTATTTTATCAAATGAATAGATGCTCTTACTATCGACAGATGTGTATATTAGATGGTTGCAGGCAATCGGCAGGAAGCCTAGCTCGGCCTAGATTTCGTGCTAATTAGCACTCATCAGTCAGCAAGGCGTATCTGAAACCTTGAAGGAATTCATGTTACTTCTGAGATTCGAACCCGCGTCACCTAGTGCTACCTACAGTCGGAGATGTTACCACTGAGCTATTCGGGTTCGCGACTGACCTCCTGAAGGACTGTGTTGGACACTTTAATTGGACACTAGTAACTATTGCGATGTGTCTAGTCCTTTGTTTGGTGCAGAATGGATTCTATCAGTCAGGTTTGCAATGTGGCCAACATCAGTGTCCACCGTGATGGAGAGCTACCTAGAATGGTGGCCACATTGCAAACGTGACTGATAGAATTCAGTCTGCACTAAACAAAGGACTAGACACAACACACTAGTTACTAGTGTCCAATCAAAGTACCAATGGGTATAAATTTAATTAAATTGATTGCATATTACTGAGTAAATTTATGCGAACTAATCCTTTTATATTAAAACAAAAGAGAATTCATTTTTCGATTATCCCATCTCTTTTATTTTTTCTTCTGCTTTAAAGTCTAACAGCAATGAAAAATAAAGCTGCAAAACCGAATATTTTTGTAATGGATTTAATATTATTACAAATTGCATTCCCAATTATTAGCGGACTTACTGGTTGGCCTTTTGTGTCTGGTACAACAGTTCGTACACTAAGCAATCTTGTTGCATTAGTTAAAATGGATCAAAGTCCAGCACCCGGTATGCCACATAAGTAAGTCAGATGTACATATGTATAATAGTCAACAAAGTTAACGCGTTAACTGATGTGTTTGTTTCAACCTAATAATATTCCTCTATTAAGGTGGGTGGGATATTCAGTTAGGTCTATCCATGAGCGAATTATGCGTGAATGACACTTTATTTGGATAAATATTAAGTGCCACGAAAAGTATATATGAGATTACTAGAATGAAAGTGAAATGAAGAATAAGGATGACATGAATACGAGATATAAGTGAAAAGATGATAGGGTTGATAAAAGGATGTTAAAAACACCAACTGTGATGTTGTACATCGAGAGGACTTTTGGAACTTCACGTAAGATTCTGTGGCATTCAAAACCACAAATACACTTAAAACACAAATTATGTCGGTTTCAGGATCCTGTGGAGCCCACTTAGTTTATCTAACACCTAGTAATGAATTTGCAGTCTAGTTTATAGGTCAAAGTAGGAGACCAGAGTGAATTAGGTTAGCGGAGTACAAAAACCTTATGGAAGTCTAGACTAGTTGACCTAGTGGTACCAGAAACTTAGAAATATGCTCAGCTATATCACTACATACAGTTATACACAACCATACAATAGGATAGGACAAAGTGACAGTATTAAAATCAACTATATCAGGGCGGAGAGATAAATTGACAAATGAAGCTTTGATTATTGAATACACGCAATCAGAATGATTTCACACCTTTTCCAGACATCTGGAAAATTCGGCTATTTTTATGACAAATTGGAAAGAAAAACGAGGGCTATAAAAACAAAGTTTCCAAGTCAGTTTACTGACTACTACTGTGATTATGAAAAATAAACTGTTTTCGAAACGTTTTCTAGTAAATAATACCGTTTGAATGTATGACATATCTAATAGACAAATTAATATGAAATCACACACTGCCACAGTATACAGGTTTCACACATACAAATTCTATTTACATTTTATTCATCCGTGTTGTATAGACGTCAAAAGTACATATACAATTGACTGTCATAACACGTTATATATTTTCATAACTGAAGGATATCAGTAAATAATTATTTTCTCTTTATTACAGAATTATTGGAACTGTCGAACAACGTGTCAGTGGGGTATTTGTTGGACTTCTGGTGGCTCTATCAATTTTTCTAGGATCCATATTGAGTCATATTCCTCTTGCTGCTTTATATGGCATGTTTCTTTATATGGGTGTAATGGGTTTGCGAGATTTACAGTTTGTTTTAAGAATTTGCTCATTAATGAAACGTCGAAAACATTGGGAGGACTGGGAATGTGTTCGAGGTCTACCCAGCCGCCATATACTAGTCTTTTCACTAATTCAAGCCGCAGTTGTTCTGATACTGGTTATCCTGAATATTATTTCTGATTTTACGCCTCTCAACTATGTTGGCATTATTTTCCCAGTTGTTATCCTTTTCTATGGTCTTATTCGTGAGTTTGCCCTACCAAAATGGAAATGGTTAGCCTTATATCTTCATCAGGTATGTCTGTCACTTTTGATAGTTTTCTGTTAAATGTTATAATATGTGTATGCATGTAATGTTTTATTATGTAATGACAAAAATTGATGAGTCCAAACTGTTGTGCTACCTTAGACGTTGAGACTCAATGACCAGGAAATTCAAGAGTTGGTTTGTAGGGATTTGACTGGTTACAGCATTTAATCATGAGCTGAAATTGGTTGGAGAACCACTGGAAAACCTGGGAGTACTGGACAGCTGTTTCGTCCAGTGACTTAATGGTTTACGAGCTCGCCTTGTAACCAGAAGGTCCTAGGTTCGAAACCCGGTGGGTGCGTACTGATGAAGAGTCCCTAACAGCTGTCCAGTACTCCTTGCAGGTTTTCCAATGGTTCTCTAACCAATGTCAGCTCATGATGAAATCCTGTGATCAGGAAATTGATGGCTGTCTGCAATTATCTTTTGGACGTCTATGTAATACTACGACATCAATCTAGCAACTGAAATGACGTGATAAACAGCTTGACTTCATTACTGGGTTACGGTGGTCTGATAAATCTCATGATACTTGGAAATGACCTGTCATTATAATTACATTTTTATTATCAGTCACTTGGGCTTCCAGAGCTTCAACAGCCTCATCTCACTCAATCTTCTGCCGTCTTTTTATCTTACTACAAAACTGTCTACAAGCTTTCATTTCCTTTTCGCACAATCGTCTTCGTATTACAGTCGGATCCACCATCAACTCGTCGCTTAATATTAGGGTTCCAATTAGCTGCCTGTTTAGCATGTGGTGTTATTCAACGTTTCCGTCAGTGTATTTTCAATCCATCTCCATTTACTTCTGTATATTTGTTGGTTAGGCTACAGGCTATGAGTTGATTTGCTATGTTGCCAGGTTTTCTTATTGCTTCGTTGTCCCTTCCCGCTGGTCATTTGATTTTCAGTATCGAACCAGAGAAGGCAAGTGTTGGTGAAAGTCTGTGACGCAAGCACTAAGCCCCTGAAGCATATGGAGTCACTGACTTGACAATAATGTTAAAAATTCAGATTTCGTTCCTTGTGACGAGTGCTGTAGGTTTCCATACTGATGTCAGATTAAAGAAAGCCTGTTTTGCTTTCACGATCATGCCTGGCTGGCTTTCATACCCTCATCTGTTTCGTCAATTGTGGCTGAAAAGATTTTACACAGGTCAATTACGTGAAGGCAATGACTTCTCTTAGACTTTCTCCAACCATATCCATGCTGAAAATTCCATACTTGTACTGAAAAGACGGTGTGGCATCAAGCTGTAATCAAAATAAATAAATTAAATAAAACTGTTGTTTGTTGTTAGTGGTGGTCGGGTATCTCCAACAACTCAGTAACCTTTATGCTCACTTGATGTCCTTCCCCTCTTCGCTACCATCTTCTTCTGCGAACTTGTTGGATTTCGCCTCTAAATCGTCAGGGTCGTGAGAAACGAGAGGCGAATCATCGGCGAGGTTCATATCTTCTCTCCACAGTCTGTGGTATGACTTAGTTCGTCGCTATTAGTAAGATCATCAGTGGCAATAAAGAGCATTGCGTATGATCTATGGCTTATAATGGTCAGTTTGCACAAATACAAATCCTGTGTTCAAGTTTCTCCGTTACCTTTTCCTGAAAATACTATACTACAAAGTTGTGTTACTCCGTCTGAAAAAAATTCAGCACCTTATTAGTCAGATATAGAACCTCATTTTGTACACTTAGATTTAATCTATACTGGTAATAATGATTGAAATGTTTGGATCTCAGTCATTAACATATTGATGAATGAAGCTGACACATTAGTTTGATATTTCGTTAACTACTTTATACTAAGTATAGAAGAATCAGTTTATTAATAAGATATCAATTCACAGTCGTAATAAATTTTAAAGTCATCTGATAAGACTTCACACTGAACAAAAAAGACAAAAATCTAACGAATTCTTTTATCAGTAAAGTAATGTGATCGAAGTGAACAGTCTTGTCTTAATGACTAATTCTACCTCAATTCTTTGCATTTAACGAAAGGAGAGAGGATTTTATATAGTAACCCTTTCAGCAACTTATTCTTAACAGTGCACACCATTTTAACTTGTCTAATATACTTTGTCAATTAAATAAGACATTAAGAAGACAAATATTGTGAGGTGATATAATTTCGCAGTTTCACTATAAACACGAGTTGACCTCATAAATTGAAGGATCTGTATGCTCACTGCTGAAGTGTCCCAAACTAGAACCAAACGATACAGTACTTTCTGGCTTTCCCTGATTCTGTCACTGACGCTGACGGAATCTACACTGGAATTTAATTTCGTCGCTGATAAAATTGTTTTCAAAGAAGAGAAATGTATATATTTCAATCTCTCAGCTATCCTACACATACAGACAGATATATAAAAAGTATAGACTGGCAAAGCTGAGGTGATAATTAACTAAAGAGAAAACGGAGTGATGATAATAATATTATCACACATGTGTTTGCTTTTTACTCAGTAAATTTCTTTACTTCTAATCAGCATGATGATACTGAAGGATTAAAAGTTTTTTGACTGAGCTGGAAGGTGATTTGTTGTTTGGGTCCTAAATGTAAGCTTGAAGTTGAATAAACAAGTTGAGGTTAATAGGTAAAAAGGATAAAACTAGTGGTAATCTTTATGTTTACTTTCATTCCCGTTTCTATTGTTACTAATATTAATACTTTTTTAATGTTGTGCTTAACAAAGCAGCGATCTTCAAGTGTTAAATTAGGAAGTGAAATCTAGAAGAGAACCATTAAAACCAGGAAGTGCCGGACATTTAAGAGTTGAGTTCAACCAAATTGCTGCAAACTGACATTTAGAAATTAATCTAATACTCACTAATGACTGAGCACACGATTAAACTGCCTTGCTTTCAAGTGATACGCTGGATAAGTTGGCTCCACCAAGTTGGGTATGAGGACAGGCACTCGTCAGTGACCTTAGCTAGCGGTAGTGCTTTATATTGCAAATTAGAAGTCAGAATTTATTGGTCATCGCTATGGGTTCCAGTATCTGAGTGGTCAGTGGTAATCGCCTTATAACCAGTTGTCTGATCCCAGTTTGAGACTTTACAGAGCTGGAATTAGAAGCTGCGAATTTCACGTTATGGAGCGTTCTCGTTGATCACTTATCCTTCTTTGATTTGATTCCGTTAGAATAACTTATTTTTATACTACCACTCTACCTACCATTTTAAATGCCTTGTTCAGCATAATGATCACATTGTTAATATAACCTTTCTTGTCATATTAAAGCCGAACCACTAGGAAAGTACAAGCTTTTAGATCATAAATATGTACCTAATGTTTTATATTTCGGATATAATTTTCCTCAGTTTCATACCTATGCTGATGATGAAAAACAATTAGTCTCAGTTATTTAAATCAATTAATTCCTTTTTATGAATTTTAACAAAACAATAAAAGAAAGTAATTAATCTGACACATGTGTAAAGTACGTACAAAACATTTCTGACATTCTGATCACATGTGTACTTGTCATGTCTATGTAAAAGTAAACAGCAAATAAAAGGTTAGCATTGAACCATTGTAGGTCAAAATGCTTATCGAGAGGTGAAACATTAGAGAAAGTAGGTAAAAGTGAGACAAAATATGGCAGTATTATACAAATAACCATTGATTTTAAAATTGGATTATCAACCCAAGTTCACTGTAATAACAAATAATTTTCAAAACGCATAAAACAGATTTAAACACTGTTCTATCAAAGTCTTCAACGAATTTAAGTATGTGACCCAAACATGTTTTTATTTATGTCTTTAAAGGCAGTGTTAAAATCAAATTCATGACCCGTTTCAGTAATGTGCTTTGCCATAGATGATGTTGAACATACATTTCCATGATCAGTTGAATAAGGTGGTTTTATTTGTTATTGAAACCACTTGGGAGTGTTCTCTGTATCCCTAACCTTCAGAGATTGATGGATTTGCCCTGTGTAAATATGACCATTATTTCTTATTTTATTCCTTTGCGTTCCCAGCGGAACATGGGGCTTCAAGCATAAGCTGTGAAGTGTCAGCAGCATTGGCTTTATTTTAACGTGGTGAAGTTGCTAACCTTGCGCTCAGTCTTCCTTCATTACCGGTTTTACTACCGGCTAGGAGACGAAAAAGAGTGCACCAGCCTGGCGATCGAACCACGGACCATGTGCATGGTTGGCGAGATTCGACCACTGATACACCGATGCACTACATGTAACCGTGCATGCGTGTACACTGGTGATCAGACTTTGGTAGACGCTCACTCAAGAACGACAAAAAGAGAGCTGACTGAATTAGTTGAGCCTTTCTGTATGATACTTCTATGACGTTTAATGAATTCATTATTCTTAATCTTATTCCATATTAGTTTGTTTATTGAATATATATCACACAGAGAAACAGTATTATTTATTTACTGGATGACATTTCGAACAAAACTTATTGTTCGTAATCACATCAATTATAATCACACGACTTTGAAACTTGAGTTTTATAGTTTTCTTTGTTTTCTCCTATTTGTCGTAGGGGTAGTAGAATTTTCCAGATATCTGGAACAGGTGTTGAATCATTCCTATTACACGCATCTGCAGTTGATTTGGTAAACAAAGCTTACGTTATAAATCTCTCCCCTCACCCTGTTGCATTAGATTTTAAAACTGTCATCTTATCTCATCCTATTTTATGGTTGTGTATAGTTGCATGTGGTGCTATGGCTGAACTATTCTCTAGATTTCTTATCTTATTCGGGTCAACCAATCTAGATTTTGCTAGGACTTTATGTTCGGCTAGTCTGACTTTTCCTGTTCTGCTACTTTGACCGATGTATTTGACCTGACAGTCATTGCAGGGTATTAGATAAACTAAACTGTTTTGTTTTAATGGCTCCACAGGATCATTTAACCGACAAAACTTGTTTCTAATTGAGTTTGTAGGGGGTTTGAATGCCACTTTTATTCCTGCCTTGTTAAGAATTCTGCATAAGGTTTCCAAGATTCCTTCCTTGACAGTTTTAAAATCTAATGTAACAGGGTGAGGGGAGAGATTTATAAAGTAAGCTTTGTTTATCGAATCAACTGCAAATACGTGTAATAGGAGTGATTCAACACCTGTCCGAGATATCTGGAAAATTCTACTACCCCAACAACGAACGACAAATAGGAGAGAACAAAGAAAATTATAAAACTCAAGTTTCGAAGTCGTGTGATTATAATTGATGAAATGATTATGAACAATAAATTTTGTTCGAAACGTCAATCAGTAAATAATACTGTTTCCCTGTGTGATATATATTCAATAAACAAACTAATATGGAATTACTTACTACCATAGTGCCCAAGTTTTACACATATCCTAATCTTATTTATTTATTTTTGTTTTTACATTTTCCAGCTTGATCGTAAATATAAACTAAATCCAAGTACTATGCGTAAACCATCATCTGCAGTACGTAATTTATCTACAGTTCGTAAAGAAAGTATTGCTAGTTTTGCATCTGGTGGGCTAACTGTTACATCACAATTGAAGGCCAACAACTTTATTGAATATATAAATGATCATGAAACAACTTCATACAGTGATTTTAGTGAACATGAAGATGGTGTCGTACGACGGACTTGGGCAACATAATAAGTACATATATATGCATATATTTGTCTATTGAAAGAAAATCTCTTCCTTTATATTTCTCTGAAGAAAAAAAAATAGAAACAAAATTAATCGAAATAATGAGTTTCATTCACTGTGTTCTATTTTCGGTTTTCACCTATCGTTCTTTTATTTTACATTATAATGTAGTCGTATTACTCATAGATCAGTAGGCAGAGAAGAGGTATTTTTAGTATATTTATTTTTTTGTAGATATGAATACAAATCATTACACTCTCGTTATTCCAATCTATCATTACTATTATTATTATTACTTAAGTCTTTAAGTCTTAGATGACGTCGCACACCCGCTTATCTCTCACGTCTATCCGTCTTCCTATACAAAAGAATAGAAACACGGTCGTCATTATCATTTTACAGGTTATGATTATTAGTTTGTACAAGTGTATACAATAATGTAACTCTTAACTGCATATCCTTCTTTGTGGAATTTTGATGCTTGTGCAAATAAAATGTGCCTGGATACACTTTACACATACACACACACACTCATGCCTGCCTACTACATACAGACATATGCACAACTCGTAATTGTACATGTATAGGAATTATATATACATACGCATATATACAAGATTTCTTATCCCATTCCATGTTGATTCTGTTCACATTCTTCCACATAATAATGAATGCCCTAGTGTTTGTTTTCTGTTTGGAGTTTTCCCCAGTTTTCTACCATGAAATTTATCGCACAATAATTTAGCATTTGTTTGTGAAAAGAATTCCACTATACACACACACACACACAATTGGTTGCTTATTTTTGAATCTTACACCATATTTTTGTGCCATCTGTTTAGTTCACCACATTGTTCCTTCGTTTTCTATCATTATTATTATTATTGTTATTGTCCCTCAGTTTTTTCACTCATGTCTGTTGTATAAGCCGATTGTTAGCAGATAGGGAATTTATATATACAATGGAATGAATGGATCAAATGCCAAATTAAGAAAATAACAATAATAATAATAATACTTTACACTAAAATTTTCAACTTATTTTTTCACACATATTTGTATTTGGTTCACAATACACACATATACATACACACATACCATGGTTTAAAACTTGTTCGAATATATAATGGAAAAATAACAATAATTCAACTATTTTGTAATAAAATCTCTTTGATTTGAAAGTGACTTTTATATACACACACATACATGCTGCTCATCAAGGGAAATTTTAATTTTATAATGATATGGAAAGAAACTATGAAAGAATAATAGTTAACAGTGGAGTTGAAGACACTGGTTTCATTCTATCTCTAAGTCTTATTAATGCGTCGGTGGCACAGTGGTAGAATGCTAGCCAACCAAGCAGGTGGTTCGGAGTTCCATTCCCGGACAACGAACTGCTAAACCTCGCTAAGCCAGTAGTGACACCGATAAAGAGGGAAGGTTAGACATGAGGCTAGCAACTTCATCCCTTAAAAAAATAAATGCCACTGCTACCGAAACTTCAAAGCTATAACTTGAAGCCCTATTTTCCACTAGGAACGTAAAGGAATATAAAAAGTCCTGTTAACTTAATGTACACATGTATTCCAGTGAGAATAGTAACGAACTTTTCAACAGCGATCAAGTATTTCGTTCTAGTAAAATCATTATTATATTATAATTTTTCCGTTGGGTTCCGAGTGGAAGGTAGGGCTTCAATAACACATCTCCACTTTGTTCTATTTTCTACTATCCTCTTCAGCTAATCCCACAATCACCCGTAATCTCTTATCTTCTGCTTACACGATCTTTTCCGTGCCACCCTCGGGAAACACACTCGTTGATTACTATTCGGGTTCTACGCGAGGGTATACCTGGTGCGTAGTGTCATTCTACGGTCTCCTCAGTGTGTAACCTATTTATCTCCATTTTATCCTACATATTTGTTGAGCAATGGGTTCTTGAATGGTTTGTTCTCAGAGTTATTTGTCGCCAATTCTTTATGGCCATCTAATCTTCAATATGTAGCTAGCAAATGCAGCTGTTGATAGAAGTCTGCAACCTATTGGAAATGCTTTTTGTTACGCTGGCGCCAAGTTTCTGATCCATATTAGAAGAACTGACTGACTTCTTTATGCTGTGTATAACATTTCCAAACCGATTTCAGACTGATGAAGATGTTTCTTGCCTCTAAGATTCCTGCTGGTTTTTACGTCTTCATCCTTTCTGTCTGTGGTTGAAACAATGCTCCCTAGATAATAGAAGAAAGTAATCTATTTCAAATTTCTCCCGTTGATGGTGACTGGTGCTTGTTGTTGTTGGTTGGTTGGTTATCTTGACCAACTAGCGGGAAATTTGACAAAAAGTGTTTTCAAACTCATATCCGTTGCCAAAGATATAGTAATTATGGGTTAGTTGTCTACTAGGTAACAAACGTCTTTTCATTAGATACTATTGGTATTAAGTTCAAATCCCACTGGGAATATTGCTATTCTCTGGGATACAGGTACACTAGGCAGAAAAGTCCCAAATGGAAGGAAACACTCATTCTGGGTTCTGTTGTTAGCCATCTCCAACCAAACAAAACCATACTAACTAAGCTACAGGCCTTGTCACATTGTCCGTAATATGAGTTGACATGCCTACAAAAACTCACCATTCCAGTGCAACATAGTCAATCGACGGGAGATTTAAAATCGTTTCGACACATTGTAAAAAAATTGACAGTTGGGAATGCTCAGATGTTTAAAACAAGCAATAAAGGTTAATAAAGCAGGATTTATTGCTTGTTTTAAATTCGTATCGGGAAATAAATGTATCCAGCTCAGATGTTCATATTAATTCTTCGATAAAAGCTACCAGATATAATTAGCCAACAACTCTGTTTTCAAAGACGTGCATTTGTCCTTAAATAACCTCTATTAATTTCACTTTGAAATTTAATGAAGAAACCTTCCATCACTACTACTGCTTTTACTGTTAGTGTTGTTAATTCCCTGTAAGAATTTTTGTCCTAACAGGTAATTATAAGAAAAACAAAAAAAATATAGGCAGTCCGATTTTATCCCATGAAGTCAATAGCTATCAGATAAGGAAAAAGCTGGGCAGGCATGATTTATCAAAATGTTCTTTTTCAATTTTTACCGTAGGCGTTATTATATTTATATGTATTTTTAATATTGCCTTTAAGAGAGAAGAGATTCTCAAAAGATGTCATTGCTTTGAGCTTTTTTGTCTGCTGAAGAGAAATACTTTGTTGATAACTTTAATACACATCCAAATTTTGTTCGATTTGTCAGAAATATTGTCTGAAACAATTAATCTATCCTGACAAATTGTAATAACAGTATTACTGAATCCAATTTTTTATCGCGACTGTGAGAAGCTCGAGGTGTACATTTAAAAAACGATATTTTTCTAATTAGTTCAAGAATCAAGATAACCAAGAAACACTGAACAGCCATTTCGTTCTAGTTTGACATTCTTCAGAGGTATGTGCTTATTACCCAACTAGTGACTGAACCTAGTACCTTCAGGGTATGCGGCAAGTCTAATTGGTCATTAAGCTACTGAAACGGAATTCAATGACCCATGAACTTTAACTTCTGATAATATCCTTATGCGCTACTTAATGGACCCCACTGGTCCAACCTGTCACTACAACTCAAGATAACTTCATCATGTCGTTAGTCACTAGTAAGTATCGATTTTTAGGAATTTAAGCGATTTCAAGTTTTAGATGTCCAGTACTTCCTGGCTTTTAGTAGTGCCGTAATCGATGTCAGTTGGTCAGGCAACTTGAAATCAATTGGATTCCTGCAAAACTAACACTTGAAGTCAAAATGTTTGACAAGTATGCCTATTTATTGACAATCGTTTTCCTTTATTTTGAATTAAGTGTAAAGTTGACAATTTCGGGGTGATTTCCGTTTCAGCTGGAAGACAATCTTTTTTGAGTGAATATTTATTTAGTATTTGAATTTCATTAAAATATGATGAAAGAAGACAAATGATATATTGCAGATGACGAAGGTAACAACGGACTTATAATCTAATATTCCAGACAAGAAAAGAAAACAGCATGGTAATTAGTTAGATGTGTCTTTATTTCATGCCTCTGGGATTAGTATGTTTATGTGACCAAACAACGCGTTTCAGTGAAATAAAACACAATTTTTCACTGAAAATCTAAAGGATGTATAGCTTCTTAAAATTATCTTATTGAAGTCATTGATGCAAAATTGTAGACAGAATGACAGAACATCTTGGCCAATAACTATGGATTACTTTGCTGACATTCTGCAAATTTACATTTCTCTAGATCATAGGTTAACTCAGTGGATGGGCTTCTGTTTCACAGTGACATAATTACTGATACTAGCTAAATTATTATGACTGTCTCTTCAAAAGTAGTCATCATTATTGCTCGTACTGAGTTGAGGTTTCGGCAGAAAGTTGTACTGCCGCTGATTAAAAGATGTATTAGAAGGCCTCACAAGAAGAAATCCATTCCCGTGGTATATTACCTACCATTTGGGTGATGATTTATGACTCTTTTCGTTTAAATCATTTTTCTTGTCTTTATCTTCTACTCCCACCACTAATAGGTCACCTAACATAGAGAAAACAGAGGTGATGAATATCCCTGGCCAACACCAACAGCAGCAACAACAACAGACAACAATAAGCATAAATGGGAGGAACCTGAAAGAAACAACCTCCTTTACCTACCTGGGAAGCATCGTTTCAACTACAGGCTTAACTGACAAGGATATCAAAGCAATAATCGGAAAATCAAGACAAGCTTTCACTACTCTCAAGTCTGTGTGGAGGTCAACAGAGCTCAGCATCAAAAATAAGATCCGGATTTTCAACTCCAATGTGAAGTCAGTTCTACTATACGGATCAGAGACTTGGCGCCCCGTCACAGAGGGCACTTCAAACAGACTACAGACCTTCGTTAACAGTTGTCTTCGCTCAATACTCAAGATCAGATGGCCAGAAAAGATCAGCAACAGGAATCTCTGGGAGCGAACCAACACAGCAGGAACCGATTGTGAAACAAATAGGCAGGAAGAAATGGAGATGGATTGGCCATACTCTGAGGAAACAAACCATCAAGTGACATCACTAGACAAGCCATTGATCGAGTGGAACCCGAAAGGGAAACGGCGAGTTGTTCGTCAGTGCAAGGGTGACTTGGAGAAGGTCATGTGAAGAGGAGATGAAAACGTGTGGGCAGACTTGGAGCCAGGTGAAGACTCTATCAGAGAACCGAACGCAATGGAGACGCACGGCTGAAGCCCTATGTTCCTCTAGGAATTAAAGGAAACAGTAATAATGTAATAATAATAGGTCTTTTAATAGCATTCCTTCAATTTGTTTCTTCTCTGAGAACATCGCAGATAGCTTAAGTCAGCGAGACACCTCTTTTAACCTTTCCAAATCATGCTTCTAATCCCATACTGAGCTTTCGTTGCCAGAAACATATCACACTTCAGGTAAGTGTTATCATTACTCAAAAGCATTGGCATTTCAGCCACGCGTATGGGTAGATCTATCAGTCATGTATTCAATACTGTTTAATTTGTGTGAAGATTCTTCTTCAAATATTAAAAGATAACATGTCCAAGATAACTGCATCCCTCGGAGTTGCTGGCGAAAGGTGAACACAGAAAGTCTACTTCTCAACTGGATCCTAATAGATGGTAGTTTGAATGTTACCCAGAAAGATGTATCTAGAACAAAGACAGAAAAATTGTGACACTTATCAGTGTTTGCCTATAACTTCCGTGAATGCATTCGCGAAATGCAGTTTAGATGAGGTATAAAATATAAAATTAGAATTAGGAAAGGTTGTGGTAGCGTCTCATGAAGACAAAAGGTTAACAGTGATTTCTGCTTTTATTTTGTTGTGATAGTCACACGTATGTGGCCAGGAAATCCTTTTTTCCCATCTGATCATCAGGTCACTGTTGAACGAGGACAATTTCGCGATAAGATATTTGTACGAAGAATCAATCAAAGATTTACTTATTTTATAGTAGGTGCACGATCTTCGATCCTAACTTAGTCTGCATATTTAGGAAACCCTCATATTCCCAGATTGGTGAAGAAGTATAATCTATATTCGAGAAAGAACCAAGTTAACTAAAATTTGACCCTGGCAGCGATGGTCTGAGG